GTTACAATTTTTGTAGCAGTTTAGGCCAAACTTTAAGATGGCAGCTCTTCAGCGGTGGTCGTACAATAGTCATAATTTCTCATATGATTTCTAAAGAGTTCTATTCGTATTTTTCCCCAATTGTCGCAAACGGGTGCATCACTCCCGTAAGTGCGATCGGCATCTGCGGTCAACGCACTCAAACTCCCGGTGCGCCGACTTACCAGTCGGACGCCCCATCGGGCCCACTACACTCCTGCGCCCCCTAACAGGAGGAGCGGACCACCCCTCGGGGACCATGGGGTCTTACCGCCTATTCAACCGCCCCAACAGCTTAGACGACAAGGACCAGGGTACCCAACCCTACCTACACATGGTCTAATGCACTCGCATTACCCACGCAATACACCACATTGACATATATAAAACGATGGCAATACCAACATATTGAACACAACTACACATTGTAAATGAACATACTTACTAACACAAAATACTCACCACCCTACAATCGTTGTTCTCTCCCTAGTCGCCGATCTTACGCTTCGTCCGCATAGCTGCTTACGCAATAGGATCCCTCCCTAGGCTTTGCCTCCCAGCTACGCAATAGGCCTGCACGGCTTCGTTCCGTTGTTACGTAATGTGCCTATCTTGGCAGGGTACTCCTCAATGCTCCATGCGATCGTCGATGTTCTGGTCAGGGGCTGGAGTAGATCGATGTAGTATTACATCGGCAGGCTCTAGCTGGTGCTCGCGCTGCCTGCATTTTCGGAATAGGCCTCACCTTCGACGCTGTCACCGCGTTACCTGGTAAAATCTACCGGCTACCGGCTGCCAGCCGTCGAGACTTACTACCGACTATAAACGCGGAGGCTTAGCCACGGCGCACGTGAATCGCACGCCGTGCGATCCAAGCGACACATGGGCCTGGACGCGAGGTGCGCACCGCAACCGTCGCATCCGCGACACCAATCTGCTCACCGTTTTCAGCTCATTTATGCAGATACTCGGGCAACAGTGCGAGCTTCAACTGATAGATCGCTCTGCACATTGTTCAAGTTGCTTCGCTTCTCAGGTGAGGAACAGCCTCAAGGACACACCCTGCGACTGTATTTTGTTAACAGTGGCTTGAATCACGAATATATACTCTTCAAATAACTCTCCAATTAAGAAAAAGAAGCAAGAAGTCATAAAACGCACGGGAAACACGCTAATTACGAACTTGGTAGCCTATTTGTACTAGTTTTCCGGACCTGCAGTATGCTGCCGCTACTGGCCCGCGGACAGGCACATCATCGTCGGGGATACCCCAACAAGTAGCGTATTCGGTCGCTTAAGAGAGGTGGTAGTATTTGTTCTGAGGAAATTTTTTAATAGTTGGTTTTTCGTGTTTCGGGGCGCTATTGCGGGGGACCTACTTGCACCTACTTGCTCATTATTGGGAGGAGGGTCGCATCTGCCTTCTGAGAGGAAGTTGCGGCGTTGGAGAAAATTTTTTTGGTCGTCGCCTTTTCGCGGTGTTTACTGTTTCACATGCGCTACATTCCTCCCCCTATCCGCCTCCCCACCTCGGAAATTCTGAGTAAAAAGTCGGAAACTCCTCAGGAAGTTCAGGATAAACTAGCAGGAGTTAGAGAAACTCAGGATGGAAGTGAGAGTCGTTACTTAGGTATCTAGGACTCGGCCAAAAATTCCCCCACTAGTGGTGTGCCCTGTCTGATCGATTCTTCGTGTCATCCGATACTAGAACCATCCAAGAGTGAAAAAAACGATGAAATACTCTAAAAAACTGGACTCGTGTCAAAGTAGCCTTTGAGTGTCGGTGGGGCGGACAACTGGGGGGGGGGGGGTTGCTAGAGTCGCCACTGCTGGGGGCCGCGGACAGCAGAGCTTCATTACCTACTTTGGGCTGCAGCGCCTTCTTTGCTTACTTTGGAGTTACGAATGTGGGATAATCTTAGAGATTGGCGACGGGATAATCTTAGAGATTGGCGACCACATTACTTTTACAAGATGGGGATCGTAGGAGTTGCTCGAGCGGAGAGTCTTTAATAAGGTGCAAAGAAAAAGGAGTCTTATCGATGTTCATCATCCCCTCTACAAGAGGGTCGAGCCCACGTCACGAAATCCGCGACAGGGGACGGAGGTCGTATTCGGCCTCTCGGGAGGAGGGAATCGAATCTGGACAGAGATCTGTGCTGCACACAGCAGGGACGTAGTCTGCAAGATGGGTGATGCGTTCGGGAAGGAATTCGAGTACATGACACCGCATTCCATGGAAGTGCTAATCAGCGCGCCTGCGTTGCATTCCTACTCACTGTGTGAGAGGATGTGGACAAGAGGTCTACCGAGCTTTCTAGATGGAAATATGATTTCTGCAGGGGACGATTCTCATGCTACTGCTAAAAATTACTTTTGTCGGAGACCCGCAAGGCGAATTTTCGCTATAGCTGAGCCGCAGCTAATTTGTTTTGCTCATTGGAAAGAGAAAATCTATAGTTTCTAGTGCATGTGAATATCCGTTCTTATTCGTGGCTCCTATATCGAATTAAAGTCCAATCTACTCTGCTGACGGCTGGCGTGGTCAGCCAGTAATGAGTGTGCACACCTCTTTGAGCTGTTTCTCTGCGCTTCTTGTTGAAACGGGCCACCTGCCGACAAAAAGTCAGTAGAAACAAGTAACACGAAAAGGTATGTACAGAATTTTTAAAAAAAAAAAAAAATTGTCATTGCTCGCTTGAACAACTCGTGGAGAACGAGTTTGGCTACGTGCCAAACGCAGCCGCACGAACACGCCCAACGGTCCGCAATGAACTACACTATAATTCATTAAAAATGTAAAGAAACTCGCGCTCGGCCGAAAATTTCGCGCTAATACTTTTGACAAGGAGCCGTCATACAACTTAGTGAAACCTGTAACTGTAATTTCGTGTACAGCTGTCATACACACTTGAATCGTGTCTACCGCTTGTGCGAAAAAGAGTTTTTCTGAAGTCAGACGCTTTTGAAAACACTTAGGCGATGGGCAATCTCAATACGCGACGCGGCCTCAGTAACTCAATACCTAACCTTCGTGTTGTTCCGTTTAGTTTTTCAGAAGTTACACTCAGTGGATCACACTACCTCTTGATAACTAAACTTTTTAATTTCCAGTGTCTTCTGTTCGATTATGGTTGCCGTATATGTTTTGGGATAATCAGCTTTGCTTCGCAAACTCGAATTATACAACGTATATACAGCAACATCCTGATGAACACAGCAGATATCCCTACACACTGCACAGTCACTAAGGAGGGCGGACTCCCCTTTTAGGGAGGTCGTACGAACCCTCTCGATTTTCCGCGAGGTGATGCATGGCCTCTTTACACCTCGTGCAACGTCCCACTGTTGCTGTGGAGCGCTTTATTAGATTTTTGACGGGGCTTATTGAGCGACTCCTTGTTTACCGTTGTAGGTGAGCTTAACACTTTCCTATCATCACGTCCTGTCGCTAAACTGCTGCACTACTCGCTCGGCTGAGCGCGGCGTGGAGCTCAGGACTTTGCAATAGAATCGCCGTCTCCACGCACTATACGAGTTTTTTTATGGATCCTACTATATATAATCCGCTAAGTTTGTCTGTTGGTGTGTGTGTGTGTGTGTGTGTGTGTGTGTGTGTGTGTGTGTGTGTGTGTGTGTGTGTGTGTGTGTGTGTGTGTGTGTGTGTGTGTGTGTGTGTGTGTGTGTGTGTGTGTGTGTGTGTGTGTGTGTGTGTGTGTGTGTGTGTGTGTGTGTGTGTGTGTGTGTGTGTGTGTGTGTGTGTGTCACGAAATTCATAACATCTTTCAAGAAGAGGGATGGAGCGCTCAAACTGATAAGTGATGTAGGGGGCAGGATGGGAACATTATTGGTGGGTGACAGGCCGTGATAACACTTGATAAGATACCACAAGGGGTCTCAGCAGGAAAAGGCCACCAACTCCATAGCGCGGGCCATAGCAACGATGGAACGTTGGTTCCAAGAGGTAAGATAGGGGTCAGGATGGGAAAATTGTTGGTGGGTGCCAGGCCGTGATAGCAGCTGATAAGATATCATAAGGGGTCTCATAGAGGGAGTGTCGCCAGTTTTGCAGCGCGGGCCACAGCAGCGATGGGACGTTGGTTCTAAGAAGTTAGATAGGGGTCAGGATGGAAACATCATTGGTGGGTGGCAGGACGATAGAGGATGCCCGAATTCATGGCAACAAAACTTGTAGCAACACTGGGGAACTGCTTCCAAGCAAGTCATTCAGAAGAGGTTACAGAGCATTGGTGGAGGGATATAAGCTGTATATAGTGTGAGAAGGGAGCTTATAAGCATCAGTACCTGTTCGCATCCTTACTGTTCAGCCGCGGTGCCCAAGAAACAATGGGCAGGGGTGTTGTGAGTCAAGTTATTTCATCTCTTAGCGATATGGTTGGGACTGATTCGACCGCTGAACTCTCGAGTTTCGACAAAAATCAAAAGCCCTGGAAGCTGCTTAACGAAAGTACTGCGATGTGAGGATCTATGATGTCCATGTTATTACCATCGAAACTCTTTCAACCGCTGCTTTCCTATTTCCAACGAATGGTGAATGTTTTTAGAAATGTGATAAGCACCAGACATTAGAAAATGTTCATTAAACAGGAGAAATATAATGAAATGGGTCGTATCTCAAAAAATGACAATTGGGCCAAGTGTTTGGGGTCAGTACAGAAATCCTGTCAGCGATCAGTACCATTACCATAGATTCAACCATGCGCGCAGTAGTGCGCGTCAGCCAAGCTGGTTTCATGACAAACAGACCAGAGGCCCACAAGCACAGTTTCAACGGGCCAAATACGCTGGGAATCGTTCTTTTTTGATGATCAGGTGAAAGCGATTCCAATCCGATTCTAATAAAAGACTCCTAACCTGCATAGCACTGTGCAAATGAAGGAAAATTGTTCAGCAATGCGTTGGATTTCGTCACATCCATTAATATTAGTCTTCATAAATTTCTTGTTCACGGCAATGGAGACATGGTTTGGACGAAAGAGAACAAAATTTTCAAAACTGCATTCGACGCTTGCGAAGGAGGTGTGAAGTTCTGGCGCGGTACGCTTGACTGTTCTCTAAGAAAACAGTCTGTAATCAAGTTGTGTTAGTTTTACAGAGGGAAGAGCTGTTATGTGTGATTGGGGAGCAGAAAAACCTCGCCGTTCTCGCGCTCTAACGATATGGCTTGCGTTCAGGCTGAATGGCTTGCAAGGGCTCCGATATTACGTCAAAAACGTTAGTTCTTTTCTTTTTCGAACATTCATTTCCTATTGCTCCTTTCTTCAGCACTACGGCAGCAGTTCTCGTGGTCGGGTTGAAGGATTAGGATGTGCATCTGCGGTTTCCCAACCCGACCACTGAAAAGCGATTATTAGTACGGCCCAGACCCTTTGTGGTAATGTGTCGCGCTGATTAGAATGGTCTAAAAGCGCAAATGCCGGCCGGTCCGCCGAATATTTTGAGGCTATACCATCTTGCCTGATATACCCAAACTATGACTAAATGACAGAGGAAGATACCAGTTAAGAAGTGAACAATTAATATGTATTTGTTGGTACATGACAGAATAGACTACTGATCAGATGTCCATATAAATCTAAACTGCGATAGATGAAGCGTAATACTAGTAAACTGTTCTACAATATGACCTATTAGGAGAACAAGAGGAAAGGGTATGGTTAGCAAACAGGACAAATAAACAAATAACCGGTGATGTAGAATACGATCTGACAGCGCTCCTGTCCATGGAGCCAGTATGAGACGATGAGAGTGAGTAATCGCTCAGTAGGACGACAGGACGACAACTGAAACCAGAGAAGCAGAAAGGGTCCCGCGCTTTGGGCTTCTTCCATCGTTCAAACTGATGACTGCAGTAAGATGGCAAGCGGAGCATGGTCTTCTTGAGCCCATACCGTAGACGCTTCCAGGTCCCACGAAGGTCACGACATTTGTATTGAAAAGGCTTTGTGAAATCCTACTTTTCAAGTGCTTTTTTATCAAACGTGTTATGGCAAACAACTTGGCTACGCACACGTCTTTGCATCACACGCAAAACCCTATAGACTTACCATCAGTAAATAGGATATCTCAATGGCAATTCCCGCGACCACACTTCATAGGTTACAGTTCCAAAAACTGCCCCGTGATTGTTGACTTATCGAAGAGAAGGAACACGAGAAGGGCTCGCAATAAGACCCTCTTCATTTCAATTGATCATGATCACCGGACGAGCGTAAGGTGGTCAAGATCAAGTGTGGATTGCAAAAGGCGGCGATACACTGATAAGAGACGAGAGAGGCCAGAAAACGACGGGCGAGAGAGCGCAATGGCAGTCTCACAACGACACGGTCACTGGAGGCCGGCATGGGCCTATCGGGCGCCAATGGGCCTAAAACATGAGCGCCGTGCGTTCTGCTTGCTGTTTTTCAACTTTTAAAAGCAGCATATCCTCTACTGTTGCCTGCTTGATCATCATGCACGTTTATGAGGTTCTAGCCTTAGTTTATCGCGGAACGTGCCTTCAACACTAGAATCTTGTTCCCCTTTCCTCTACAGGAATGAATGTGACTTAATATTCTTGACAGGGAGGCATTTCTCGCTTCCAGAAAATTTCGTCTGAAAAATCTCCGAATGCCGATTTCTCCCAGCACTGTGCACTGAACATTAGCACTCGATCATTGATGAGGGAGAATATGGAGAAATGGGTTATAGTCAAAAACACGAAAGTTAATCGAAGTGTAGGGGGGCATTACAGAAACTCGGTCAGTGATCACTTCCATGGGTGAGCAGTAGTGTGCGTCAGTAGTTACTGGTTACTTATAAGAGTAGATGGCTGAAGCAGTCGGACATGTTCTGGTTCTTTCGATATCGCACTGGAATTATGAGTTCTTTCTGAAAATCTAACTGGGAAGGTCGTCTGGTCGAAGTGGCCGTTTATAATGAGATGGCTAACTAGACGTGGTTTTGTACGCTAATCTCGCATCACCATTGTGACTAACATCGGCATGGTGTAGTGATAATGGTCTTGCTTCGCGGGCATGCTATGAAGGGTTCGGATTTCTGGAGGGAACTTGTTTTGCATTTTGTGGGGAATGTCTCTTTTAAGTCTAGAAAACACTCAAACGCCAAATGGGTGCCATATTCGTGTTCAGGGAGCAAAACTACCCTGGGGACAGGTTTCTAGCCAGATGTGAGGTTTTGACCTAACTTTGAAAAGTGCGGTAGCAGTTGATCGAATGATGGTCACCAATAGTTCCAGGGCCAGTCTCTTGTCGATTGCTTGTCTTTGGACAGAATTTGCTTTTAGATACCAGGAAAACTGGAGCAGTAATAAAATGAATGCGTAAGAAGAGAGGAGACGAGGCTTTGTGCAGGAGAATGTATCTGCAGCTGAATAGGTGTTAACATCAATTGAACTAACCCATGGATGCTTCACTTTCCGAATTCGGGTCAAAATGCCAGATTTGGCTAGAAACCTCTACCTAGGCGGAGTTCGCCCCGATAAACTCGAACATGGCACTCGCTCAGCGCGAAAACGCCTGCACTCCGCGCCAAGGGCACCTGTACATCTCCTAGATCATAAGGCACTAAGCGCGCCAGTAAGCGAACACAAACTGTTTTTCAGGCAAGTCAAGGAGAGCGCTAATGTAGTAGTGACGCCACAACCACTTTTTGCCACGTTTGCACAAGAAGCAAAAAAGTTAAGCTCAGCAGGGATCCGATCCCACGACCTGTTGCGTGGTAAACGCGGTGGAAAAAGCTCCATAACTCCGTTCAGAGAATCGTTCTGCAAATTTCAAAGGCAGATTCGAGATCAGCGTCCAAAACCACGTCTAGTGAGCTACATCTCATTACAAATGGCCACTTCGACCTGACGACCTTTTCTAGTAGAGCTCTGTCAGCTAAACGATACCTGCCGCTTTTAGCGCTTCTGTTATGCGGCATGTTATGAATAGGTGTCTCTTTCAGGGCACATCGTTGTTGGGGAATCCCCAATAGGGGGAGGGGTCGTATTTGGCCGCCAGGAGAGGGGGGGTCGTATTTGGGCTGGGAAAAATTTATTTTGATAGTTGATTTCTCGCTTCACGGACGTTGTAAAGGGGGGGGGGGTCGTATTTACGTTTTGGCGTTGTAGGAGTGGTGGTTGACTTTTGGTGATTTTCCTGTTTCATGCGTACTATATACCCCCCGCTCGACAGCAAAATTGATAAAAAAAAGGGAAGTTTCCGGACTTTTGGGAAAATCTGTAGAAGGGGTCGTGATATCTCTTTTCCTATCTTTTTCTTTTTTTTCCTCGGCTTTTCCTGTTTCACATGACTGTTAATACCTCCCCCCCCGCTCGACTGCTCGATTCGATGAGGAGGGACAGAGGGCCGGAGAGAGAGGGGGGATCGTACCACCCCCCTCCCCAAAAAAAAGGGGGGTGGTTGTCGTACAGATTTGACTAAAATCCCCAACCAATGGAGTGCCCTGCTCTTCATCTCTAATACCACTTATCAATTCGTTAGTCAGTTGTCACCAGTTGCTGCCACCCTACAATAATGTTTCTATCCTAAGCCCAACACCCCAAAATAATTTTGGCTATTCAAAACGACGTAATTACGAGTGCAGATCTTTTTCAGCTGCGTCGCATTCTGGCGTCGCAGCGCACTATCCCACCCTTTAGTACCATCACAAGGTTCTCCGGAAGGTTCTAACTTCCTTCACAAGTAACATTTTGCAAACGCTGTAGACGGAACTCGTGATTTCTGGGAGCTTCTATCAGACAGGTACTAGTGTGGTCACTGAAGACGTATTACTTCTTCGCCACAAATTTATGCGTGAAAGTTTTCTTGGGAGCGCGAGTTTCCAACTTTCTGAGACTACAAATTGGGTAATAAAAGATTTGGGGTCATTTGTAGGGGATGTGAGCGCCCATTTTCCAAAGAGCTTAATGGCTTTTAAATAGCTTCTGTATTCGAAAGAAACCGTCGTTGGCGATTCTTTCCGGACGAGGGGGCCAGTTTTTCCGGGCAAGTTGTCACCCGTCAGTAGACCATAGCGGCGCTGTTTGTCGAAGGGGGGGGCATTTTGTATTATCATTGCTTCCCTAGTTCCGGTTTACAAATCTCACTCTGGTAAAACCTGTGAACTCTTGAAGCTGAAGTAAGATCGTCTAGCCACTATCCTAAAACGTGTCAACTCGAGAAACGGCTGCCTAGATGGGTCGACACATCTATGGAAAGCAAAATGCCCCCCCCCCCGTCGACAAACTGCGCCGACCATAGCTTGGTTCACAGATACTTTCTCGGAAGAGGTTGAGGAGATATTGGAGAATGCTGAATTTGCGTAATTTTCTTTTCAAAATCTGCTGAAATCTGCTGGAGCTCATCCACCTGGCGTTGAATGCTGCTGCAAACTGAGAGAGTAGTTTTTATTACATATAAGAGTGACTGTTTCTATTTCATTCCCATAGAACACGTTTTCTACCTGTAATTAATGTCAGTTATTTGGCAGAGGGACCAGGATCGACAGACTGGGTCACGCATTCCTGGTAGCACACGGAGACAAACCGGTCCATGAAAGAGCTTTCTGATTCTGATGAGCTGGAGACACTCCCTGGATCTTTATCCTGCACAAACGTTGACCACTAATTTCTCCACGTAGACCTCCCTTCCGGCTAGCCAAATACGACCTCCTCCCGTCAAATTGCTCCTCCATGGATGCTTG